ATCATGTTTGCCAATTTATGTCCATGCCAAAAACTGGACAAATTATATGTTGCAACTTGAAGGCAGTGTCATTCATGACCTGTTTGATTGAATAAATTTTTATGGCTTGGAGGCCATTTTTTTTTATAAAAATCTAAAAAAAAACAAGCTTTTGCTCAGATATGCGTCATCCAGTTTTGTTCAAAGTTGGTACAGGGACAGGTAATAATTGTTTACAAGTGCACATCGCATTATATGTTTAACAAGTTATAAATTGTCTCAGAAAAGCAAAATGAATATTTTTTCTACCCACCCCCCTAAAATTGTAACACATCAATTCTGAACAATTAATAATGGAATTTGAATACAGCTCACAATAGTTGCGTTCACGCACAGCTCCTTAGCACGGACTAAGAGATCAAATTCCTTAGCCCGTGCTAAACAAACGTGTGTGAACGCTTAGCACGGGCTAAGGAATGCTAAGTACGGGTTAAATCTGATCCAAATTTAAGACGCGGTCTAGACCCTTAGCACGGGCTAAGCTTCTGGAGTGGAAAATAGTAATTTTTTGGCCAGTAGACGGAACACATTGAGTGATCTGTCATTTTATTTTTTTAATTGTACTTTATTGTAATTTTATTTTTTAATGGAATGAAAAATGGCCTCCTGGAATATTTTTAAACTATCATGGAAAATATTTTGAAATTTTATGGTGAAATTATTTTTTTTTTTTCATATTTTAAAATTTTACCCCAGACTAGTATTCGCTCCAGTGTTATCGCTATCGCCCACACAAGACTCCAGCTTGCCTACTACCAGTATATAATTTTACTTCGCATATCCAAAAAGTAGATGTAGTTAAGGTTGGTGGAATACTAATGAGCTGGTAGTTAATCAATCATCCATCCTAGTCATGTAACACACATAGTTGGTTCCTTCCTAACTGAGTCAAATTGGAAAACAATTTCCTTTCTGCTTTCCTTGGATTGAATAAATTCACGCACGACTTCAACTGTTCACAAGCAAAATAAGTCTTGATACAAACATCAAGTATTAATAAGTAACTTCCTCAAATACATGTGAATGATCACCAATGCAAATTTAATGTGAGAAAGTACAGTTACACCAAGCTTTCGTAACTATGTGTTTCCGACAATGGTGATTTCCAGGAACTGCATATATAGAATATAAATGACATATTTTTCTGAGCAGTTATTTTTTATTTTTTTTTTTTTTTTAAACCAGATATAGATGTTAAGAAATGGTTGATCCCTCCTCCAATGCCATAATGCCTTGATATTTCATCCAAATTATATATATATTTTGCAACATGCCACAAAATTATCAACAATGTTGAATTTACTCGCTATATTCCAAATATGGTATATTAATTTGTTCAGTTGTATGCCATGAGTGATGTCCATGGTCAAATGCAATTAGATGTGGGAGTCAGTCCAAAGGTCATATAAATATTAAAACTAAGTTGGCGGAAAGAAAATTGTATAGGAGACAAGCTGGAGTATTGTGTGGGAAATATTAATAACATCTAGGGTATTAAATTTTAAACAGGTACATGTACAACATTTTATTTGACAATTTAATTTCTACAAACCTGTCACGTTTAAAAATATTCCAGGGATCTAAACTTTATCTTAATTTTGATATCGTGATATCGTATTAACCCATAATAATGATACTATGATAAATGACATTGAATTTGACATGAACCTTCTGAAAAATCTTATGTTTGCAATTTTTAGTGTTTTTATTGTGTTCCTCTATAGAAGATGCACTTCCCACAGAACAAAATAATTAGTAATTGCAACTCAATCTAAGGGACTGTGCTACCATGAACGTTGTGCCTTAAAGTTAAACTGATTCAAGTAATTTTAGATATTCTAACTTTGTGCCAGAAACTGGGTAAAAAAAAACTTTTCATGGTAATACAAACATGTACATAAAATAAAATTCTTTTTTTTTTTATATACAGTGTGTTCTTCAGTAACCTTATATAAAAAAATAATGGTATATTTTGTGTTTTAGTGAATTTGAAGAAAGAAAAATGAAGCCATATACAAATGGGAAATTCCAAAAGAGATGTCAAAATAATGATAGCAAAGATTTAGAATTCAAAATTTATTCCAAATGTGTCAGAAGACCATTGAGATTCAAAACATTCATCACTGAAGAATTATCACTAGAATTAGGACCGACTGATGAAGACTGGTTTAAGAAGAGAGTAAGAAATGAGAGTGCTGTTGGAAATGATAATTCACCTTGGAAACAAAACAATCAACAAGATTTTGGATCAAAAAATGTATTTGCTACACCTTCACGTCCACTAGAGAAATCTTCTTCAGTGTACCTGCCAGATGATGCTGACTGTGTTGATCATAGCAATTTGGTGGAAACTGAAATGCCCATGCCAGATATGAATATTAGTGAACATGGTAAGCTCTCAATTTGTGAAGTTTACTAACACTCCAGAAAAATTCAGGAAGCCCAGTTTACATGTATGTTGGTGTTGATCAACATTTTCCAAGAAATAGCGCCTATAAATGGAACTAAAGAAATAATACCCATACACAATATACAATGTATAGTATTTATAACTATAATGAGTAATATTAATATTATACATCTGTCATCGTAACACAATAAGTTACTGCGTGTCATAATTTTGCGGTATTTCACAGCATATTTTAATCCTACCATATTAAGAAACGAGAATTTCAAATATGGAGCGATTACGCTTGTGAGCGTCCTCTAACAATAAAAACAAACATGGCTTTCACACAAAGAAGTTCGCTAAATCTGTTCTAAACGTTTTTGATTTTGGCATTCCCATGATGTGTTCCTGGGAGCAAAAGATGTATAATAAGACATAAGACAGTACGTGGTCGCCTCGACCTCTGCTGCGTGTCGGTCAATACTTCTACTGTACTGTATTCATACATAATTTGTGTTATCCTCATAATAACCTCATAGTATTTATAACTATAATGTGTAGTATTTATAACTACAGAATGTATATGCATTTTGATAGGCAAATTCAGAGTTCTGGTATTTCCTATCCATGGTCTTAGAAACAATCACTTTTAATGTTCTCTTGAAGGATTTAGTCCAACAACGCCAGATTTCAGTGCAGTCTTCCATCATCCACTCAATAAGTCTAGTCAGTTATTGCCAGGAAGTGCCTCATCAACCAGCAGTGTGCAATCCACCAGTTTCAATTGGAATCCAAATCGTCAAGATGATACCCCTCAGTTCATGAAGAGGTTATTTAAAACACCACTGTCTATAGCCAGATCAAATACCATGGTAGGTACACATTTGTATACTTTTAAAACATCACTGTCTATAGCCAGATCAAATACCATGGTAGGTACACATTTGTATACTTTTAAAACATCACTGTCTATAGCCAGATCAAATACTATGGTAGTTACATACAGTACAGTTCTCGCGGAAGCTTTGGCTTCACTTCAGCTTCACCTTCGCTTCAGCATCGCATCATTATGGCATTGTTATGGCTTCAGCATCGCTTCAATGTCGCGCCATTAAAAAG